GGAAAGGTTACCGCTCTATGCATGACGAACCTCTGTGCGACCTCGTCATCGGAAACATCGATGGTGCGCGAGGGCCGAACTGAACCAGAACGTTTGGGGGAAGACCCGACGATGGAACCCCCGCCGACACAGGGGCCGCGAGATACAGCGGAGAAAAATCCCGTGAAGGATTTCACTCGAGCTCAAGGTGAAGCCTGGGCGCAAGAGACAGCGAATGAGAACATGGTCGAATTGAATGAGTTTACTTGCTGGGCAGCCGGACTTACGTCGGCTCGACCTCAACCGACCGACAGTGTAAAGGTGAAGGAGTCGGCCAGCCAGGCCAAATGCCTTGACATGAACAAGCTGGTAAATAAACTGACAGGACCCGTCGAACGTTATGACCCGTTAACGGTGTCGGAAGCTGCAATGATGGCTGAGACGCCACCTCAGATCCCGTCGTTGGAAAGGGCTCGCCGAAAAAGAACGAGAAAAAACAAGAAGAGGTCGAGCGAGCACCGCAAAAAAGGGCGCAAGCGCAGCTCGAAGTACTCAGGATAGGTGCTGAGGTCAAATCGGAATGCGTTTGTCTGTGTTGATCCTCAATATGTTGTGGTAATGTTCTTGTTATCCTGTGTCACAACTGTACGCCGAGTGAATCAAAATTTTTGTTACAGTGATGTGATGTATAGTATTGTACAATTGTTGTGAAGACAGAAATTTGTACATTTGTATTGTTTGGAATATATGATCGAGTGTTGAACTCATGTACCTGTGGTTATAGTTCATGTGTTGTGAGATTGAATTACAATGTACAATTGTATTGAGTGATCTATTGTGAGTGTGACGTGGCATGAGCGACGGATTAGGTTACAGTCTTTTAGAGTGTGGGGACAGTTCGGGCTCGTTTGTGTGGTTTTGAATATTATGAAATAATATTCTTAAAGTGGGGGGCAGTGTCACAAAACGAGCGTTCAAAAAAGGCCGCGCCGTCAAATTTTCGCGACAAAACGCCGGAGTGACGCCGCGAGGCCAACGATAAAAAAAAGAAAGAAAACAAGCATTCAAAGACTCCCCGGGCACGCGTCCCTCTCCCCTCGGAAGCGTAGGTTCGCTGACGAACCTCCTCATCCCACGTCGACGACCGAGCAGGCCCTAGAAGATTCTCAATGGAAAGGGGCGTGGTGATGCCAGGTTGCGTCATCCGTCGCGCACGGCCTTCGAACCGTCTCGCCCTCTCCCCAGCCTTCACTGCGTATCGGGCCGACGAAATGATGAGAACTTTCTGTAATCTCGCGTGGAAGGTATTTAATTGAGCAGCCGAGATTGGAGATCAAAAGAAGACGGAAGTTAGCCCCAGAGCGCGTAGGGTATTCCGCCGTGTAGTCGGCGAAGGTTTTGTCCGTAGAGACAAAGCAGGAGAAGAAGAGGATTTCCACCTGAGGGGTGAAGGCTCGAGCTACTGGCAAGAGCGTGTGTCTACCGCTATCGAGCGAAGACGCGTGGCAACAGCTGCGTGTGTGAAGCCGACGTGTTTTCGGCGAAGAAGTTTGAAGCTTGGAGAGCGGCCAAGTATGACGTGATGTTTCCTGGAAGAGAAACTTCGGGGGCAGCGGAACGACAACAACGCTGGACTTTGAGTGAGTGATTCTCGGAAGAGTACCATCCAGACTTTTGTTCCAATAACTTTGAACTGAATAGGTTTTCTATCTCTTTAGTCTTTAGGTGTCTTGGTTGTTCAATGCATGCGACTGCATTGTAGTGCGTATTGTTGTCCGTGTCCGTTGTTTCGAGTGTGGCTGATTGTACTCTGTAGTACGTTGTTTGATTGGTGAAATATTGTACTCAACTATTGTGGAGTGTGCATACTTGTGTATTGGTTTTGATCTACCAATATTGAGAATATAATTTTGTTTTGTTTACCAACACTCGGCTCTGACTTGTTCTTTGGGCCACAGCCGGCGTCCGCTGGCGCGCCAAAAAGGACCACTTCTAAATTGTCCACGCTTTCGTGATGCGGTTCGGGGGGCCGATACTTCGGCCCCTGGAATTAGCCCGGCGATCGCCTCCCAAATTAACGGAACCTGTCCCAGCTGGTGATGCAGGCTATAAAGGAGAGACTGCAGGCATGCATAGAGATGGAAGGGGGGCTGTGGGAACTGCCGAACGGTTTTCGGAAGCACAGGAGGTTGGAAGAGAATCTGTTCTCACTGGCACAGTGCATCAAAATAGCAGAAAAGGAACACAGGCCCCTGTGGCTAGCATTTTTGGATATCAAGGGAGCCTACGATAGAGTGGTTCAAGAGGACTTCTGGGGAATACTGGACACACTGGGTGTGGGAAACGGAGTCACTAATCTTTTAAAGGGTACCTATAAAAGTAACAAGGTAGTTATAAAATGCGAAAAACAGGTATTCAAGCCGACATAGGTAAAATGGGGGCTTAGGCAGGGATGTCCTCTGTCACCCTTGTTATTCATGATGTACCTACAACGATTAGAGGCCAACATAGATTGAAGTAGACAGGGCTTCAACCTCTCTATCGTCAAACAAGGAAAACTCATTGAACAGGCACTACCAGCATTGATGTACGCAGATGATATAGTGCTTATGGCCGACAACAAGTAAGATTTGCAGATATTCATGGACATCTGTGGTAATGAGGGAGATAGGTTATATTTCATATTAAGTAAGGAAAATTCAGCAGTCATGATTTTTGAAGATAATGAAGGCAGTGAGCTTAGAATACATTAGGTCACACTAGAGATAACAGATAGATACAAGTATGTAAGCAATGAGGCCGAGTACCTAAGGCATCCCGTAGTGTACCTGACGACCAAAGGTAACAGGAATGCAGCGGTGATGAAAAACAGGGCACTGTGGAACTACAATAGGTATGATTCGAAAGGAATATGAAAAGGGGTCATGGTTCCTGGTATGACGTTCGGCAATGCAGTCTTGTGCATGAGATCAGAAATTCAAGCAAGATTAGAAATTAAGCAACGCGGAATAGGTAGGCTTGCTATAGGAGCTCACAATAATACACCAAATCAGGGAAGAATGTCGATACAAAATGGAGGAAGCGAACCACACATGAAGAATGCGATACGAAATGGAGGAAGCAAACCAGAAAATTGACGGGTCAATACTCAGACAATAGCAGGGGGCTAAACCAAAAAAGGAACTATCGGTTACCTAGAAGGCGAAGAAAACGGAGACCGAAATGTGGAGAAGTGGCATGATTAAGAAGTCTGCACTAGAGATATAAAAAACTTTCAGGCAGGAAATTGCTAAGGAAAGGATCCATGATAATACTCGGCGTAGTTATCTACTGTTCGAGGCCAGGACGGGAGTATTGCGAAACGAGACATATCTAGCCAAATACAAAATGGTAGACATGGTATGCAGTGCATGTGGATAGGAGGGGGAAACTGCAGAACACTTGATAATGTTCTCTAAAGGGCTTCACCCTATAGTTCAGGATGATGACGCAGAGTTTTTCAAAGCACTGGGGTGTAGGGACAGGAAGGGCGAAATAGTCTTTAAGCGGGTAAAATTAACTAGAATGAGGTTATCTGAATGGTGGCTAAAGTCAAGGCAACCGTGAACATTCAATCCTTCACGGCAAAGTAGAAGTCCTCCACTTCACTATTTGAAGGAAAAAAACATAAACATAGTTGCTGTTCACTAAGTATTATGGCTAGGTGTCGTTAGCTGCCACCCGATTTAAAGGTACAGCCACATCAATCCATCCATCCATTCATCCGCGATGCTATTGGCCGCGGCCGCTAGACCGGTGCGGTTGCTGCGCGGCTGCATTCAGCAAGTTGGATGCTTGCTCGGCAGATCACTCAGTTTAATTCCACAGCATACAACTCAAAGCGCAAAAAGTGCTCTACTTTTTTTCTAGTGTTCTACAAATTATCCCTTTGGAGCCTAATAAGACTAGCGCTGTGTTTTTATCTTCTCTTAATGTGGCGTTTCACTGACATCACATATTAGTGCCTATAGCGACCGACGGTCACGCATGGTCTCTAGCGATCCCTCCCAAAACTGCGACTTCTAACGGGCGTCAATAATTGCAGAAGTAATGACGCCCATCCTTGTGCAGAAATATTTCAAAATTGGTATTTACGATTCCTGATAAATCAGGGTAAATTTCAACCGGGAAGTTTAAATTTTCAGTTTCACGAAGCCTTCAAGGCTGCGTGCAAGTCGTGAAGTTTGAAAGCTCGATCGAGATCTGTATTGTCGGACCCTGCATACGAGTTTGCAAGTCCTTGTGAGTCCCGATGAGTGCAGAGGTGCTGACCTCACAGTTCATCTGCCAGTTTCTCAACATCTTGAAAAGCATATATGTCCTTTTGAAGATGATTTAGAGTTTCTGTTTTGCTTGTTGTAGGGTAGTTTGTGTAGCTCAGAACAAGCACCAGGTGTTATTACTGCAAGTTTGTCCTGCTGTCATATTGCAACAGTCCACTCAATTTGAGTCGGCAAGTTGTGCGGGATATTGCTTTTCTTGTTGGGTGATTTCGGCGGTGTTTGAGTTTTTCGTTGCGTTTGTTTCGTTGCCACCTGCGGACTTCGATGTGAAGTGCCTCCCAGAAATTAAGAAGATGGTTGTTTACTTTCAGAATTGCCTCGCATAACCTAATTGGAGCTTTAGGTCGGTTGAGATGACTGAAAAGCTTTTTGAGCCCAATTATAGTATCTCTGTTCTTGAATGGGGATCGAGATGTGTATCTTTGTATCAACTTTTTGACAAGGAATCGGTATTCCCATAATCCGCACTGTTGCGCTAACGCTAGTTATAACTGCATAATGCAAATAATGTGATCACGAGCTATACTTGCCTAGTGAATCACAACAAAAACAGAAATGGGGTTTTTTTAGGCCCGAACTGAATACGCCTCCATTGCAGATCACCGAAACACACATACACCAAAAAACACACACTTCATGCGTCATGCCACCACCACTGCGTATGCACAGACTAGCATATTGAAAAAGCCTCTAACTCACTTGCGCCGTCAACTCCACAACCAGGAGCTGGCTGTTCACAGCAACGAATGTCCGAATCTTATCACAGGTGGGCTTCAATGCGAGAGTGTTTCTGCCCTCGTCAAACTGCGAAAGAAGAAGAAAGCGTCAACATTCATGTTGGTGCTAACGTACGTTCACAGGCTGACACGACTTATAGTGAAACGTTGTCATTAAATTAGGTTGAAACTGTAGCGCAAGAAACGAAGTATTCAACAGAGCAGCTGTGAGTGAATGCACAGCATGTGGTAGTTTATTGCGGATGTGATTGAAGAGTACAAAACGAAAATATAAATCAACCTGCGGCAATCGAATGTGGAACACAATGATGTTGACAGCAGTTGCAACTGATTATACCATCATGCGAAAGTGTGACGGCTTGGTTATAGTGCCGACATCAGGTTATTTGCTCCTCACTTGGAGCCGCACGTTTTAGTATGGTTCAAAAAAAGTCTACACCTATTTTAATTTCAACCAAAGTGTTAAAACCGCACTGCACAAGTAATTTTCCATGCTGAGTGAATGGACGCTGTGCAAGTGACAAGTGATGTATGATCCTCGCCATTTTTAATTTTTGTATGTCATGATTGTACTGAAAAAGACATGCGGAAGAACTAGGAGTGCCGTTCGCAGACTCTGGTAGCCAACAATCAGGACCAGATTACGAATCCTAATTGCCAAAAAGACCATAGTACAGCGAATGCTGCACAGTGACGCGCTGGCAGACCAACTCGGGGTTGTCTTGAGGACCCGTGTGGCGGCAGAGGGGCTTGGCCTCTCTGTCCCGACGTGGGAGCAGCCAGCATCAGTCCTGGACTGCTTCTCATAACCTTATTAAAGTTTTTTATACCATACCGTACTACTTGCAGCATTGGCCCATGCATTGAGACACCCTGTACAGCTGCAAATGACCGTATGGGAAAACGCAGCCGCGTTTCAAGCATACATAAAGTGTTTGAGGGTCGAGGCGCCCCACGGCCTTCGCTGCGCAGACGTCACCAATTTGGATTTTTTTCACCCATGACAAGGGTTGAATGGGTGTTCTCTAAATTCAAGTGGAGCATTGCCCGATTGCCGCCGGAGCAGCTGGATGCTGCCTAATATTTTTTTAATGTGAAGCTGCCTTTGCTCGCGGCTGTATCCGTCGACCGTCTCGGCGACCGTCCACACTCTTCCCCTCTCCTCGCGTGAGCATGAAAATGTGGGATGGAGGAGGCGGCAGAGCACTGCCTCCGGTTTGTTTCTCCGTTCCCATTTATTAGGTGTCTTCTTCCTCTTTCTAGAATCACACAACAACAACAAACATTTATCTCTTTGCCGCACCGCAGCTGCGTGCCCGTATAGCGCGCGCTCGCTTCGTTGCACTCTTCGCGCTGCACTGGTTGTCCACATTGCGGCACACACCCTCACGGTACTACACACAAAGGAATAGAGGGAGCATAAGCGATACGCAGCGTACACTCTCAGGAAAGTTTGTATGGGGGCTAATTTGAACATACTGTAGGTAAAGGATGCACTGCAAAGTTAAGAACGACAAAAAACTGCACTAACACAGAAAAAGCGCATCTAACCAAAACAATTAAAAAAGACAAATAGAGGGTGGTGTAGCATGTGAGGGAGAGGGCACTGAAAATAAGCCACGCACGATCCTACCAGGGTGCTATCTCTGCCATAAAACATAGCACCATGGTAAGATCGTGCATGGTTTGCTATCAGTGCCCTCTCTCTCGATTGTCATCCCAACCCCTTTTTGTTTTGTTTTTCAGTAAACTTGGTTGTTTGAGGCGCTTTGTCAGTGTTAGTACAGTTTTTTTTTTGTCCTTGACTTTTGTAGTGAAGTCTTTACCTACAACATATACACAAATGAACCCTACACGGAAACACACAAGTGCAAACAAGTTGAAAGAGAAGTGAACATCGGAGCTGCTTTTTATTCACAGATAATTTCCTTTTGTGCGAGATTGTATAATTTTTCTTTTAATCATGAGTATGAGTACAACGAAGGAAAACCAAAGCTCGCGCTGCTTGGGCTTCTATTGGGAAGGGCTATAGAAGTTTCGAAAGAGTTCTCAGGCTCTTCGTTGACACGATATACTAATGACTTAACGGCCTTTTTAACGTTTCGTATAGGGCCCGCCATGGTGGTCTAGTGGTTAAGGTGGAGGGACAGGGAGGGCAAAATAGACGAAGTGGTTAGAATTAACTAGAAGGAGGTTATCTGATTGGTGGCTAAAGTCAAGGCTTGAGTCAAAATTAAACCTTTCACTGCAAAGTACGAGTCCTCAACCTCACTATTGAAAGGAAAAAAATAAACCCAGATTTTGGTTCACTAAATGTTACGACTTGGTGGCGTTAGCCACCGCCCGATCAACAGGGTACAATCATAAAATCCATCCATCTATGTGTGCGCGAGCTCACTAAAAAAGCCGCGCCTTCAAACAAAACAAAAAAAGTGCTCAAGGTCAGAAGGCGCCCGTGTCCTTTTTCTGTGGCCATTCCATCAATCGCTGCTTAGCTTCACGTGCTTTCGTCGGGACGAGAGAATAAAGAATGGAATTGCAGTATGCGACAAACCTATGGATCTCCACTCGCACTGGATGTACTCTTAAAATTTTTCCGGCGTTGAATTTGCGAGGCAATAAGATCTTCCACTGAATTCATTTCGTGGTTAATTGAAAAAGTTTTAAAGCCCCCTTTAAAACGGATGCTGGTAGCGCAAGGGGGTGCGCTGAGTTGGATATAGAAATAAAGACGTACATAGAGCACAGCACTTTGTTTACAAAAGGCTCCGAAATAGGAGGTGATGCAAGATACTAGAAGGTCCTCGAGTGTACCATAAATGACTAGTAGCTTTTTCAAAAAAAAAAAGGTAGGAAGAAAAGTTGGAAGTTTGCGTTTCGACAAGCGGACTTGTCTATCTGAAGGCTAGAATAAAACAAAACCCACTTACGAGGCTGCGCAGCACCTTTATTTAGGAGGCCTCTGTGTGTCAAAAGAATTTGGTGGTTTAAAACAAATGAATTGAGGAGCACGAGAACCATCGGGTGCCCTCTCTCTCGAGTGCCGCCCCACCCCCTTTTGTTGTTTTTTTCATTTCAATAAAATTGGTTGTTTGATGCGACGTCGGTTACATAAATGTACCACGAGCAAAAGTTTCTACTGCATCAAGTAAGGACTGGCGAGATTTATACTGAGGTATGCACAAAGAAAAATGAAAACATTCTTTTGGAAAAATATTCACAAGAACGAATTCTAGATAATGGCTGCCAGTGCATTGATTGATTGATATGTGGGGTTTAATGTCCCAAAACCACCATATGATTAAAAGAGACGCTGTAGTGGAGGGCTCCAGAAATTTCGACTACCTGGGTTCTTTAACGTGCACCCCAAATCTGAGCACTCGAGCCTACATTTCCGCCTCCTGTGGAAATAGAGCCGCCGCAGCCGGGATTTGATCCCACGACCGGCGGGTCGGCAGCCGAGTTCCTTAGCCACTAGACGACCGCGGGGGGGTATGGCTGCCAGTGCAGCTGTGCCTTACCTCCCGTATGAGAAATTACTCAGTGTATCCAAATTGGCATTTTTGATTCGTTCGACCTAACAATCGTCTCATAAGAGAGAGTGGTCTGGCATGGACGCGGATTTTAAAGGGGCCGTGCAACACTTTTGGAGCATGGTCAGAAAACGCTGCCGATCAGTAGTTCAGACTCCTGACAACACCAAGCCAAATATAGCGCAGCACGCGGCCTAGAATCTACAATAAATTATCGAAGTCAGCTAAAAATTGTTTTCTGTTTTCTTGACAAATTGCGCAATACACCCGAAAACCACGTAGTCCATCAATCAGCCATTAGCTGATTTGAACATGGCGCGCTCGCTCGTTACAGAGATCACCACAGGAGGCTGCTACTTGCCCATGCGTGTGTGTCCAGAGTGAACTGCTGTTGAGAATCATCGAGCTGGAGACTGCGTTGGCGGCAGTGATAGAAGAAAACGAGGGCAATGGGAGAAAGGCTGAAGTCCGCCGAGGAAGCACTAGCCAAGGTGAACAAAGAACATGCCGACGGCGAGAACAGTAGGGCACCGGCAACCAGAACGGTGGAGAAGAAAGAGCAAACAAGTTTGGAAAAAACAGGTTCCGCCGGTTCAATTGTCCCAAGGTAGGCCAAGTAGTGGTGGGGCTGGAAGGGGACAAAGCAGCCGGCGTCATAGGTGCAAGTAACACCCACGTGCAGGACCCTCCAGCTGAAAAGTCCCAGCATGTGATAATCGCCGGGGACTCGGAATTCATATCGATGCGCAGAAGCGATCAAAGAGAGGGTAAAAGGTGACAAAAGGTTTGCAGTAGGGACGCTCCCAGGACGCAGCGTGAAGCAGTCATGAAGCAAGCGAACGTAAAACTCAAAACTACAGCTGATAGATAAACGTCGAGATAATTTCAGGTGGCTTAAACGATGTCTGAAATGAAGATACGGCAGGAATTGCGACCACATTGGCGAAAGATTCGATAGCATGCGCGCCAATTCTGCTGAGGTAGAAGTAGTGATATGCACAATACCGGAGGTACCAGTGCGTGACACGACATACAAAGAGCGGTTGTCAACGCAAACCGCGAGATATGGCGGATGAGTCGAGAGAAAGGCTTTGAGGTGGTGGAAATAAACAGAGATGTGCATAGGTGGTCTAATTTTCAACGAGACAGAATTCACTTCAATGGGCGGCTAGGTCATGAGGTGGGTTGGCGACTTTAAGAGCGCGCAGTAGCTTTTACGGAGGCACGCGGGCCCTTTGGGGTGCAGGATAGCTAGTAACGAGGAAAACAACCAGGGAGACTCTTTGACAATAGGGACAATAGTTATTGTGGGGCAAATAGAGAAAAACATAAATGAACATACCCCGACCCGTACCACAAGTATAACGGGTTTGTATCCAAAAAAATAAATAAATAAATAGGGCAGATGCCAAAAGAGAATTTTTGGAAAAAAAAAAAAAAAAAAAAAAGAAGAAAAGGGGGGACTACTCCCAGCGAACCACCACCAAGGGAACGGGCCCGGCAACAGCGGGCATTTATGTAAGTTTTTCTCTTT